GGCCTGATCCAACATGGCTTCTCTTATGTTATGTTCACAGTGTTGGACTGGATGGGCCACTGGCCTGATCCAACATGGCTTCTCTTATGTTCTTATGTTCACAGTGTTGGACTGGATGGGCCATTGGCCTGATCCAACATTGGCTTCTCTTATGTTCTTATGTTCACAGTGTTGGACTGGATGGGCCATTGGCCTGATCCAACATTGGCTTCTCTTATGTTCTTATGTTCACAGTGTTGGACTGGATGGGCCATTGGCCTGATCCAACATTGGCTTCTCTTATGTTTTTTATTTCACAGTGTTGGGCTGGATGGGCCATTGGCCTGATCCAACATTGGCTTCTCTTATGTTCTTATGTTCACAGTGTTGGACTGGATGGGCCATTGGCCTGATCCAACATTGGCTTCTCTTATGTTCTTATGTTCACAGTGTTGGACTGGATGGGCCATTGGCCTGATCCAGCATGGCTTCTCTTATGTTCTTATGTTCTTACCCTTTTCTCCCTGACATTTGCTCCTTTCCCTTCACCCTACTGACCTAAAGAAGCCGGACTACTAGTTTCCCTCTCCCATTGCTCTCTCCTCTGGCCCACAGAATCCATCCAGTTCGACCCGGTCTCCCCTCCCGGCAAGCCATTAGCCCATGACCCCAGCAAACAGGGGAATCGGGAGTCTGGACACTCACGGTTATTTTAGTCCCTTTGGCCTTCTTCCCATGGAAACTAAGCATGACTATTTCAAGGCCGTGGCTTCCATAGGTCCCCTTGAAAAGCCCCGGCTTGATTAGGTCGTCGGGGCCGCATGGAGGGAGGTAGATGCGCCTGTACGTCAAGCAGTTGCTGAAATATAAAACAAGACCACAGGTCCGTGTATACAGGGCCATCTCAGAATCCGCTATATTACTTTAAACAGTTTTGCCGTTCCGCAGGGCCCGTAAGACGGAGCTCTTCCACCAGGCTTTTGGAGCCGCCCGTCACCGCTGCTAACTGACAGCTGAAGGTGGGAGAGCCCCGTTCCCCTGGAACTTCTAACAACAGCCTGAGCCAGCCGCTGAAAGGACAATAAAAAAAAAAACGAGGAACCAACTGCGCGAAGAGAGAACTGAGTAGCTACAGCCATCGTGAAATCAATGATACCAGCACTTTATCATGTTGTACAGTTTAAGTGATTTTAAAAGGTAAAGGTAAAGGTTCCCCTTGCTCGAAAGCCAGTCGAATCCGACTCTAGGGTTGCGGTGCTCATCTCCGTTTCAAAGCCGAAGAGCCAGCGCTGTCCGAAGACGTTTCCGTGGTCATGTGGCCGGCATGACTAAACACCGTCATGCGGCAACCCGGGTCTTGAACTGCTGAACTACCGACCTTCCACAGCCTGCAGTTCAGCGTCTTAACCACTTGAGCCACCGCAGCTCCTTAAATGATTTTAGAATTGTCCTAATTTAAATTTATACTTATGTTTTATTGTAAACTATGTATTGATCTTGTGTAAGCCACCCTGAGCCAGCCTTGGTTGGGAGGGCGGGGTAGACACACACACACACCACCAGTGTTCCCTCTAAGCTGAGTGAGTGTGAGCTAGCTCAATGTTTTTTTAGCCTCTGGCTCACACATTTTTGTCTCAGCTCAGGAAGGAGGGCTGCTGAGCAAGCTAATTTATGCCGTAGACAAATCGCTCGCTCACACAACTTTAATGCCAGCAGCTCACAAAGTAGAATTTTTTGCTCACCAGACCCCACAGCTTAGAGGCGTTGCACATCACCCAAACCCAGGATTCTGTTATCCCACAAACTATGTAAGATTGAGTTGTTTGGGAGGGCTTTTCTATAAGGGTAATATTTTATTATTATAATTTTATTTATTTGCATTTTTACCCCGCCCTCCCTGCGAACGGGCGGGGTAATAGAGCTACACTGTAACAGAACGGTTCGGGAAGATGCTTCATAAAGGAGAAAGTACCGTGGATTATACCAGTGAGTATAGGATAGGTCCAATGGTCCCTCTAAGCTGTGAAGTCTTGTGAGCAAAAAATTCTACTTTGTGAGCTACTGGCATTAAACTTGTGAGCGAGCGATTTGGCTGCTGCATAAATCAGTTTGCTCTGGAGCCCTCCTTCCTGAGTTAAGACAAAATGTGTGAGCTGAAGGCTAAAAAAACTGAGCTAGCTCATGCTAATTCAGCTTAGAGAGAAAAAGAAGAGATTGGATTTATACCCCGCCGCCCTTCACTACCCAAAGGGGTCTCAGAGGGGCTTACAAACTCCTTTCCCTTCCCCTCCCCACAACAGACACCCTGTGAGGTAGGCGGGGCTGAGAGAGCTCTGACAGAAATTGCTCTTTTTCAAGGATAGCTCTTGTCAGAACTGTGGCTTGCCCAAGGTCATCTAGCCAGGTGCAAGTGGAGGAGTGGGGAATCAAACCCGGTTCTCCCAGATTAGAGCCCGCGCACTTAACCACGACACCAAACTGGCTCTCACTGGATACATCAGATACGGCATCCCCCCAAACTGTCCCTCTCACCCGCTTACTCATATTGACTGGTGTAGATGAACTTCATCAAGATGAGCTCTTGCATGTGTTCATGGAAGATGTCTTCTAGGGTCCGCCCCCATTCCTCTCTCAGCCACGTCCGAAATTCCTGTGGGCACCAAATTGCAAGAAGCACCGCCGATCAATCAATCACAGCTGCCTGCCCCCCCACACCAACAGCCCTCCAATGGAACTCTAAGAACAGACTGGTGCACAACCCCTACTCCTTTTAGTAAGCCCTGTGCTCCACACCTCTGTTCCAATCTTGTTCGCAGGAATTCCTTTGCATATTAGGCGACACACCCCTCATGTAGCCAATCCTCCAAGAGCTTACAGAGCTCTTCTTACAAGGGTACTGTAAGTTCTTGGAGGATTGGCTACATTAGGGATGTGTCGCCTAATATGCAAAGGAGTCCCTGCTACAAAAAGAGCCCTGCCAAATTCTGTGAGAGAAGACGTGCCTGGAATAAGGTCTGTTTACAAAGCAGGCACGCCCCTCTCGCTATTTACTCTCTTTATGTCTAATCACACTCTCACGGAAGCTAGCAGTTTCCAAAGTTCTGCTTCAACACTGTTCATTTAAGATGGAGAAATGTAAAAGAAACTGTTTTAGGAGACCGAATTGCGGCTACAGCACGACAACTGACCCTGGGTCCTTTGAGACGCGAGCCAGCTGTTTTATTCCAATGAGCTTTCCCCCCAGTGAGCCACGACTAACCGCACGAGAGAGGACTTCTTTTCCTCCAATCTGCCTCTGGACAACGGGCAACTCTTTCAGCCGGCATCTGCCCACCGGACCAGAGCAGCACTGCGGTATGGATTCCGCACCTACAGACTTGGGTCCCTCCCTGCCTCCCTCCCGAGCCGAGTCTTCAGACACAGCTGGCGGGCATCCCGCTTCCCCCTGTGCTGTGCACACATTTGTTTCAGTGGGCAGAGGAAGACAGCAGTCTGGCACGAAGGGGTAGGCCGATGGCAACGGACACAGAGATGCAGTTTCAATTACAGCACGGGCGCCTGGGAGGGGGTGGGAGAAATACTTTGAAAAGAGAATGTATGGCTCTCTGATGTATCCAGTGAGAGCCAGAAATACTTTGAAAAGAGCACTTCGGTCTGGGACGCAACCAGGGGTCGTTTCATAGAAAAAGAGCTAGGGAAGCTCATTAGCATAACTCATTAGCATATGCCACACCCCCTGACATCACCGGAAGTGTGTCATAAGGCCACACCCCCTGCCATCACCGGAAGTGTGTCATAAGGCCACACCCACCACTCAGTCTTAGTCTTAAAGGTTAGCCTTAAAGGTGCTATTTGTTAGTCTTAAAGGTGCTATTTGAACTCTTGGACTATTTTGCAGGAACAGACTAACACAGCTACCTTGGGGAAGCTCCTGGATGGGGCTGGGAGTCCTTGCGGAGGCCACGTGGAGTGGCCTCGGCCAGGCAGAGGGGGAGGACGCCAACTTACCCTCCTGCTTCTTCCTCCTTCTGCAACAGAATGAGGCTGGAAGAAGGGGGCGGCCGGAAGAAGGGGC